TGCACAGGCAGGCAGGCAGGCAGGCAGGCAGGCATGGTGGGCGGACGGGCAGGCAGCAAGGGGTTGGGTGGGCGAGGGGAAAGGCAGGCATGCACGCACGCACGCACCGGGGCAAGAGGTCGGGCTTGCAGGCAGGGGGTCAGAGGGGGATGGGCGAGCAGGCAGACAGGCGGACAGGCAGGCACGCACACACGCACTGGGGCAAGCAGTCGGGCTGGCAGGCAGGCACGCTTGCACCGTGGCGGGCGGTCGGGAAGGCAGTGGGTCTGAGGGGGACGGGCGAACGGGCAGACAGGCGGACAGGCAGGCACGCACACACGCGCCGGGYCAAGCAGTCGGGCTGGCAGGCAGGCACGTGTGCACCGGGGCGGGCGGTTGGGCAGGCAGGAAGGCATCGGGGGGAGGACGGACATACTGGCGGAATGGGAGGAGAGGCAGGCGGGCACGCACGTACCGGTGCAGGCGAACGAGCTGGCAGGCAGGGGGCCGGGGTTGGACGTGCGGACAGGCAGACACGCACGCACCGGGGCAAGCAGTCTTGCTGGCAGGCAGGCACGCTTGCACCGGGGCGAGCGGTCGTGTAGGCAGCAAAGCGTTGGGTGGGCGGACGGGCGGGCGGGTTGGCACAGGCAGGCAGGCAGGCATGGTGGGCGGACGGGTAGGCAGCAAGGGGTTGGGTGGGCCAGGAGAGAGGCAGGCATGCACGCACTCTCGCACCGGGGCAAGCGGTCTGGCTTGCAGGCAGGCACGCTTGCACCGGGGCGGGCGGTCGGGCAGGCAAGAAGGCATCGGGGGGAGGACGGACGTTCTGGCTGAATGGGAGGAGAGGCAGGCGGGCACGCACGTACCGGGGCAGGCGATCGGGCTGGCAGGCAGTCATTCACGCCCCTGGTGTGGTGGTCGGACGGGCGGACAGGCAGATGGGCAGACAGCCAGGCACGCGCGCAATGGGTCGGAAGGTCGGGCAGGCTGCAAGGGGTGGGGGGTTGGTGGACCGGCGAACAGGCGGACAGGTGGACGGGCAGGCATGCACTGGGGCAGGCGGTCGGGCAGGCAGCAAGGCGTTAGGTGGGTTGAGGGGCAGACGGGCAGTCGGGCGGGCAGGCAGGCAGACAGGCAGGAATGCACGGGGCGGACGGGCAGGCAGCAAGGTATCGGGGGGACGACGGGCGAACGGGTGGACAGGTGGACGGGCGTACAGGCAGCACGCTCGCACGCACCGGGGCAAGCAGTCGGGCTTCCAGACAGGCACGCTTGCACCGGGGCGGGCGGTTGGGCTGGCAGGCAGGCACGCTTGCACTGGTGCAGGTTATCGGGCAGGCAGCAAGGCGTTAGGTGAGCGGAGGGGCAGACGGGCGGGCAGGCAGGCAGGCACGCATGGGGTGCGGACGTGCAGGCAGCAAGGCGTCAGGCAGGCGGACGGGCCGAAGAGCGTACGGTCGGGTGGACAGGCACGCACGCATGCACCGGGGTAAGCGGTTGGGCTGGCAGGCAAGCATGCGTGCACCGGGGTGCTAATGACATGAAATTTTTACCAGATGTCGGTAACAACCCAAGTGACCCATACATACAAAGAAATCAAACCATAAATGTCCAGATATTATGTTACTTGTAATAATGTGGAATGGCACAGGGAAAAAGTATTGGACACATGTAGAAAGGGATGTGTTAAAGGCATGGAAAGCCAAGACACCAGCTGAACTCTCTCAGTAATTAGAAAGCAAGTCTGCCCCTTGTCAGTGCAAATTAATGTCAGTTGGTTCAGTCCCAAATGATGACCAGGTATCACACAAGAACCTGTTAAGGTTTGTTTTGTGAGTACTACAAAAATTGGATGTGAGACAACAGTAAACAAATGACTCAGACAACAGATAAAGTTCAGTGAGTTTATTTACAGGTGACTTCGGTGAAAAGCTGAAATGCAAAAAGGAATGATTGAGAGGAGGTGTCGAGTAATTAAATGACTTTGAA